GCAAAGTTCTCATGATTCCAAAGAAACCTATTGGTTTATTAGATAATTATTTATTAAATTTAAAAAAAAAATCAAACATTTTTCTCAGTGTAGATTTTTAAAATTTAAAACTATTAAATAAATCCCTCTTAACACTTCATAAAACACAAGTTGTTACGACTGCTACAAACTCAAGTTAACATGCCACAAGCGTATTTCGTGACTTCCCTCGTTCATGCAACATGTAACAATTGCAACAGCAAACACCAGCAACACCAACAACACTGCGTGCAAACACAACATACATACAATTGTATGCGTTTGGTGGCGGCGTTGGTCTGCGGCCAGTTCGTAAGTAAATGATTGAGATTTTTTAGAAATCAATTCTACAGCAATGCAATTGACCTCAATCGCTTGTAGAAAAATTATTTGAATAAAATTGAGGATTTTGTGTGAAAAAATTTTAATTGAAATTGTGTTGCATTTACAAACAAATTGTATGCATTTACATATATACTTGTATGCAAATGGGCATTTGCATAGCATGAAAGCTGAAATAATGTTTAGGCGCTGAACTCGCACTTGGGGAACTAATACATTTTCAAAATGAATAGTGACAAAGCGACACTTTATTTGTGCGAATTTTTTTTCCATGTTTGTTACAAATGAACGTAAAAGTAATTTTGTACTAGCCTCTAAAATATTTTGTTGTATTTTATACACGCAATTTGTACTGGTGTATTTTTACCACATTTGCTGAAATATTTTGTGTCGATTTTTATTAAATAAACTAAATTAAACAAATTAATTAAAAATGCAAATTCCGTTTTAATTATTTATTCTACAATAGTATTAACATATTTTTTCTATATTTCATTTATTTGTCCGAAATGTTTTTGTACAGATTAATTGAATTAATGTATATGTACATTTTTTGAAATTTTCTGCACATTAAAAAAATGTTTTTTAATTCAGAATTCGATTATATATTTAAAATTTCAGTTTTTATACCCTATATTAAGTTCGACACGAAGTTTTTTATTTACCCAGAAAAAAATGTCGGAGACCCTGTAAAATATATATATGTCTATACGAATGATTCGCCGGACGAGCTGAGGCGATTCGGTCTTGCCCATCTCTTTATTAGCGAACTAATTCCACAGTTTTTGAGATATCGTTCTGATATTTTACACACGTCCTTTTCTAAAATATGCAATAAATTGTTCAGATCGGGTCACTTTAACAAATAGCTTTTATGGAAACTGAACGATCGGAATCAAGTTTCGAAATTTGGTAGGGGTTATTCTCTAAAGCAGTGGTGTAAACTCCGCAAACATTTTTCAGATTGAGTCAACATAGCATACAGCTGCCATACAAACTGACCGATTACAGTTCTTGTAAGGAACCTTTGTATTTGTTAAGGATATAATTACTTCGATGGAATCGAAGTTGTTATTTTTTCTTGTTTATTGTTTTTATTAAAACTTTTACGTCATCATGAATTTTTTTCTGCGACTATTAAATACAAAATTTGCAACAAGTGGCAAGCTACAAAACAAATGCCCAGCTAAAATTTGCATCTAAATTTTATAGCTTTTTTTTTTTAATAGTAATACATGATTGATTCATTGGCATTGTAAATAAAACAATATTTTTGACACAAAATTTTTATTCTTTTTTCAAGACATTTTTCGGCAATAATTTATGCAATTTTCTTTTGTATCATGAAATAAATGTCGAGCGATTTTTAATTTGTAAAACAGCTTTAAGATATTTGATTTATAAATGCGTTTTGGAAGCACAAAAGTAAAATTGACGTTGCCACTATTTTGATTTATGTTCAATTAAAATGCAATCCATTTCAATGCAGAGGATTAAAAAAAGTAATAATGATATATGCGAAAAATATTTGCACCAAAATTGACAACTAAATTAACTGTTAATCTGGTGAGTACTTATAACGAAGCCGGACACACCACTTGTTGGTGGTCTGGGTCTGATTGCTTGGACATTTGGCAAGGTGTTGCTGATGGTCAGTGCGGGGTTACTACAGTGGGGAATACATTGCATATATATATTTTATAATTTTTTTTGATGTTCTGTGTACATATTTATGGCCAATATTCGACAGCTATATGACACGCAACACTTCGATTTGTGCCCACTCATTGCCACACACTCGAAAGTTGCACCACACACAAAATGACATGACATATGCCTAGGTTACTAGCAACCAACCAGTCAGCCGGTGGGTCAGCATGGTACAGCAAGCATTTTTCGCACGTTGCTCGTAAATATTCTCCTTAAAAATGTGACATGTCGCAACTGAGCGACCACAGCGACCGGACAAGCAATCGGTCGGTAATGCCACAAATGCAAACACGCAGCCAAACGCAATACTCGTAACCGTCTTGTGGCACGCACGTGTCGATTAGTTGCTAAGCGCGCAATCGACATCGCTGACGGGAAAAGAAAAAAGATATCGGAATGCAGTTTTGCTTTTATTTTTCTCAAGAGACCAACCACCAAAGGCCGCTGTGGCCTTTTGCATGTGTCGCCATTTAGATCGTGTTCCATTTGCAGTGTTGCATGCGTTACGTTTCTTGACAGCAACCGTTACACACAAATGCAATGCTGTTCGAATTCAATTTAATTTTCGCTTCAATCGCTTGCCTTCGGCTATTTATAAGCAGATAATTTGTTAAATTTGCTTTTGTAAAATTTAGATTAGATTATTGCAAAAATTTTCTGTGCATATTTACACACATATTTTTTTTTCAAATTGCTGGTTTTCATTATATGGTGGAATTTACCGTACTCTTTCTAATATCTTCATTTAGTAGGTTAGGCGATACATGGATTTAATTATACTCTATATTTATGAAAACATTTCTGTAATTTACACTGATCATCTTATGGAATCTTCAAGGATTCCCTACTCACAAACCTTGATAAAAAATTCCTCAACCCGAAAAGATAAGGAAGCAATTCGATTTCACTTCGTTAGCTCGTAAAGCTTATGCAAATAATTATTCCATACTCGTATATGAAGCTGCTCGTCTCGGAAAAAGAACAAAAGCTCGAGTTGCGACAGTTGAATGGTTTATGAATATTTTATAATAGGAAATTCGATATCCTCAATAGTTCTGAGGATACCCTCTTATACTTATACTATATTTTCATATATATCGAATATTAAATATTTCAGAAAATAGTTAAAAGTTTTTCAGTAAAGAACTAGAAATGATTACAAAAAAGTCACTTACCGCGGTTTCACGAAAACTAAGCTTATTGAACGACTTTTCAAGGCATTAGCAGTACTACGTTTATGTGTAATTATGCCTACATTCATGTATTTGATACTAGTATTATCCCTTATCTGCCATTAAATCTCCTACTTGGCTTATAAATTTCAAATTTGACATCTCAAATATTTAACCTCAATTTACAACAACTTTTACTAAACAGTTTCGGCAAATTCGTAACAACTTACATGTATGTATGTATGTTGTGTAAAGGCGGACATAAATATTTGCCGAACTGGTATATGTCCTCACTTTTGCAATTGCTTTTATCAGCGGATCATCAGCATAACACGCTATCGAATGTAGAAATCGGATACAGTGATTTCCTTAAGTTTCCTTGTTGTTGTTGCTGTTTCAATCAGCTATTGGCTCAGCCAAGCATGGCAGGCGGCAGACCAGTTTGCAATTGAGCCTGCGGTTGTAATTTCGTAAATTATCGTAAAATTTATTTTTATAGGCGAGGTGCTAAATTTAACGTAATCAACGGTTGTTTGTATGCATGTATGCGTTTATTTGCTATCCGCCTGCTGCAGGAAGAGTAGCGTAGCCATACTGCTCACTTATTTTTGTTTTGATAAAAGCAAAATAAATTGAAGAAAAAATGCTTGCTTGATATAAATTCACTCAGCTGTGATATGCACAAAATGCAGGATATTATTGCGTCAATAAAATGTCAAAAATTAAATGCAAATTTGTTGTAAAAAATTAAAAATAAAAAAAATACATAATTATATTATGTGTAATAAAAGCTACCTACAACACAATTATATACATGAAAATTGCATAGCGGTACTATCAGGCGCAAGCGCGCGCCGCTTCATTGTATGCAAACGACCGCCTCAACGGCTGTGATATGCCGCGCCACCGCTACGCCCAACCCATTTATGCAGTCTTTCGTTCCGCGCACTATATTGTCGTTGCGCGTGCGCAGAAGGCATTGGCATACATACATCTAGACGTGAGTATGTAACTGCATGTCAAGCATGGTGCGCAAGACGCAGGCGTTCGACATTGAACGCACATGTCAGCGGGGAGCAGTGCTCAATTTATGAAATATTTATATTTTTTTATTGAAAAAAATCATAAAAAAGATAATAAAATGTACTAAAAGAAAATAATAAACATATTCGCACTAGCGTCCGAAGCTCAGCAGTGGGCCGTCAGCTGCCGCTGGCACTTTAGCACTTATCGGCGCATTTAAGTGGAGCAGCGCCACAGCTGTGACCAACGCATTGCACCAACTGAAGCAATGTGTTCAATGCCTGGAAGGGTTTTATGCATTTATATAGATATTTACGCATGGCGCGATTGACTTACGCTCCGCCTGTGTCACACCAGCCACTGTGCGGCAACTCAAACAAAGGCACGAACCCGTACGCCTGCTTCACAAAACCGCGAAACCTCTCCATGTTTGTGTAAATTGGTTGTTTGTTTGTTAGCATAATCTCGATTGGGGTGGGCATCGATCATTTGCTGGAATTAGTAGTCATTTGTTTTATACTTATATTGTACATAATTTTGCTGTAGGCGAATTTCAAGCGAACTAGTACTAGTCCAGTAAAGTGTTTTTACGGCCTAGTATTGACTCAAAAAAAGTTTTCAAATCCTTTTGAGCTGGTTTTTGAAATATGAGGAATAACTGTTAATTAAAAACTAGAAGCCTTGCAACAAGCTCTGGATCTGGGAAGTAGTCAAATAAATTTTAGAAATTTTATTGCATTATAAGCATAATTTTTAATAATCGTCTTGGATTCGCCTCAATCTCTGCTCATCATGTTTGAACTCTTCTGCCTAGTCACCAAATTTACCTGAAAGCAACAATAAAGTAATACGATCAGTCTTTATTATTATCCATATTTGATTATACCAACTTGTTTAATTTATACCAGTGCCCGTTCGATTCTCCACGTTCCAATTTCTGCCAAATTGTAGATAGCTGATATTGGAGGGAAATATATATACATCGTTAATTACTAGACTTGACTATATAAATCGTACAGGCATAACGGATTATGGTTTATTTGATTTTCATTCGATCCTTTGAGTACTTTTAAAGGGCCTATCAGTTGTTTTTAATTGTGCTTGTTAGAAATATATTATTTCTTCATTTCTTAAAAACTGGTTGCATCACAAACTCGAGTTTATGAGTCACTTTGGCTTTTAGCCAATTCTATATTCTATGCTCGATCACTTAAACACCATTTTTTGTGGTGTTGGCATCTAAGTTGTTGAGCTAATAAATTCGCTTATGAAAACATTTATTCCACTGCTATAAACTTCGATAAAAGTAAGCTAAAAAAAATTCCACATTCAACAAATATTTAGCCCACTGAGAACAATTGACAGTTGTACATAGATATATAATATGTAAATACGTTAACACGAGTTTATGGTGCAATGTAATCGTTTCAGTACATGGTTATGCAGGAATTGATTCCTTTTTTATATCTATTAAACTTTAGTCGCAAAATTTTCCAAGCGATGCCTATCTAGATCTCTTTTTCACTTTAAAAATAAATACTTCATTGTTTACACAACATTTATTTGTAAACATCCGTTCATAAATCAAAAATATATACATATGTACATGTTAAGTATTGATAATACTTAGAGCCGAATTACATATACGTATGTTTTTTTATTATATTATATATAATATTAGGTAAAGTAAAAAGTTCGTTCGGTTTTTTATTGATTTTTCAAAAGATGATAACTTTGTGTACATTTGTCTGATTTAAGTCAAATATGCGCCGTTTTGTTCGTAAACTTGTTGCCAACGAGATGCCAAGCTCATTATACCCCTCTCGTAGAAGGCTGCGTCCCTATTGGCAAAAAACTCGGAGAGCTAATTTTCACAGGCCTCTCTTGAGGCTAACTTCTCACCATTAAGCGCGTTCGCCATGGACAGGAAAAGATGGTAATCACTTGGTGCCAGGTCCGGACTATAAGGTGGGTGCATTAGGACCTCCCATACGAGCTCCCGGAGCTTCTGGCGCGTCACCAAAGACGTGTGTGACCTGGCGTTGTCCTGATGGAACACAATTCGGCCTCTGTTGATCAAAGATGGCCTCTTCTGGATGAGTGCTGCCTTCAAGCGGTCCAGTTGTTGGCAGTAGAGGGCCGAATTGAGCGTTTGGCCATAGGGGAGCAGCTCGTAGTAAATGATTCCTTGCCAATCCCACCAAACACACAGAAAAAACCTTCCTGGCCGTCAATCCGGTCTGGGCCGCTTCCCCGAGCTTTGACCACGACCGTTTGCGCTCGATATTGTCGTAAGTGACCCATTTTTCATCGCCAGTCACAATCCGCTTCAGAAACGGGTCGATTTTGTTGCGATTCAGCAGCGATTCGCAGATCCATCCTGTTTTTTGCGTTAGTTCGTGTGACACCCAAACATCGAGCTCCTTTTTGAATCCAAGGTTATGCAAATGGTTCCAAACGGTTTTCTGGCTTATCTTTAGTTCCTCAGCAATTAAATAAGTGCTCACATGACGGTCTGTTTCCACTATTTCCATGATTTTATCGCAATTTTTGACGACAGGCCTCCCGACGCGTGGTGCATCTTTGACATCGAAATTACCGGAACGGAACCTAGCAAATCACTTTTGTGCTACACGTTCGTTTACAGTATCGGGCCCATAAACTAAATTAATTTTTTCAGCCGCTTTGGCTGCTTTTTCGCCTTGATCGAAGAAAAATTATAAAATATAGCGAATTTTCTCTTTGCTGGTGTCCATCATTGACGAGCGCTCACAACGTACTGAGTCAATCAATCGAAAAACTGTCAAGGACAAACTTTTAGCGCGAATAAACACGTTTTCAGCGCCGTATAGTATGATACGACACGTAACACTAATACTATGGACAATAACGCCATCTCTTAAATAAAAACCGAACGAACTTTTTACTTGGCCTAATATTATAATGATAAGAAAGAACAAACATTAATTGAGAGTAAATTAAAGATATACCTATATATACGTATTCACTTAAATGATTCAACTGGAAGAATGTGAGAACACGTCAGATACATTCTAAAAGGCGGAGAATCATTAAGATATATTGGTAATTCCACATAAAAGCATGTGCTTCATTTGGCGTTTTCGATTCGCCACAATTGTGCTTGATATGTTAGAACTCTGCTCTCTTTGTAAGAAAAAAAAACTATTTTCGAAAGCAACAACAAATTTTTCCACTTGAATTCAATATTCAAAGTCTATAAGCAAACCTCATTACAATGGTTTTAACCGCTTAAAATTTTGTAGTCGTGATTATACCAGTCGTTTTCATTTATATCAGTTGCTTGTTTGATTTGCCCTTCTTGAAACTTCCGAGCACTTAATTATACCGGTCTATCTCATTTATACCATTTACTTGTGTAATTCGCCATTTTTTAAGCTTAGCGGGAGGTTTATTATACCAGTAGTTTTCATTTATACCAGTTGCTTGTTCGATTCGCCGTTGTTGAGTCTTGGCGGATCATAGATAGCTATCAGATATCTCCGAAAGAGTTCAGTTAAGTTGCTTTACTCTCTTTGCTATACCCATAGCATTCAACTTAGCGTTACTAATCTGACGTCATCAAAATTGACTCTCAAGTTTTGAATACCAATAACATAACCTTAACCACATGTTCTATGCAAATTTTTCGGAAAAATTCTTTATAAGTAAATTTCGGTCACAATAAGTTTAACCCCCCCATTCTAGTACGCCTGTCTTTGTCAACTACAACTGTGTTGCTGCACATGAGAGTTCTGTCAGAGACAAAATTGGCTGCCATTCAAAATATTTTTTCGCAAACACCACAAACAAATGCACTTAGTATAAGTATATACATAGAAATAAAAATGAAAGAAAGTCTTTTTTGTCAACTACTTGAAAGAGGAAATCCATTGCAATTGACGGTACTCCGAATGTGCGGGAACTTAGGGGAGATTTTATGAAAATTACGAAAATAAAATTCTCTTTCTCGACCTCCGTTATATAAATCAGTAGCACCGTGCTTGCGCGAAGTGTTGGGCGCTTTTTTTCCACGCGTTGTCTTCGGTCACTTTTCTACACTGCTAGCTTTGGCTACTCGCTCGGGTTATTACTATTAAATATTATCATTTAACAAAGTGTTGTTATTACGCTTACTGTTGCTGTTGTTGCTGCTGCCGCAGCGTTAATGTGGCAACCAAACAGCATCATACCGGCTGGCGAACGACAACGTCAGACTCATTTTAATTGCTTTTAATTGAAAAACACAACAACAATAGCAAACAAACTAAAGAATAAGAGCAGCAAAGTCAATGAAATTAAAAAAACAATAAGAAAAATAATGTCAGCTGCAGCGAGAACAACAGCAAAACCGTAGCAATGACAGTCAGTAGCTGCCACCGCCGCGTACAATAGTCCATTCAATTACGAGCGAATGCGCGCCGGCAACGAAGCAAATACACTAAACTCATAAAACGCAAAATAAATAAAAAGTAAAAACATAGTAGAAAAGCAACAACAACAAGCGCTGCGCGGCGCATCGTTTGGCAATGAGCCACCTAACTAATTGAGAGTGTCAGCTGTGTAGCGCCGCGACGCGCGCTCTTTACAGTCGCTTGACAGTATGCTGTGCGGTGGAATGAAGCGCAGTGAATTGGTTTTTAGCGCGTGACATTTTGAAAACGGCCAAAGCGACAACCGCAACGAACAGCGTTATAAACAAACCCAAAATTTTAATTATCGCACGAAAAACATATTGATCAGCTGTGTAACGCCAAAGTAAAAAAAAAAAACAGAACGAAAACAAATTTAAGTACCAACGCGGAGAATAAAATAGCGGCGAAAAGGCCAAGTGCGCGGCGGCCTTAGGGCGCGCATTCACGTACGCAAGCGCGCACACCGCCGTTCCTTGCAGCGGTGTGGCAGCGCGGTTGTTACGCCCAACAGCGATAAATAGTAGAGGAGAAGCGCTACGTAGCAGCGGCACAGCGTAAAGTGCTTCAACGCCGGGCGCGTAGTTAGCATAGCCGAAATTTTTTCCATAAACAGTCGCCTAAAGACAACAGCGCGCGTTGGTTCGTTTACACAAAGTGTACTTAGTTTGTATAAAGTGTAGTGAATTTCGTTTTTTCTGTTTGCTGTGCTCCGTCAAATCGTCAGTGATAAATATGTTTCGTCTCAATAACAAGAACAACAACACAAACGATGCTATGCAACGCGATACGCGTCACTTGGAAGATCAACTGGTGGAATTGCGGCGCGAATTGCAATTAGTGCGTGAGGCGTTGCATCGCAAATCACTCAAATGTGCCATATTGCAGCAGGAACTCGAGAAGAGTCAGTGCACGACATGCCATCAATTGCTGAGCGTCGTTTCGACCGGCAGCGATACACCACCCGATGGTGAGGCTGAGGATGATGAAGATGCGTGCGCCTCAAATAATGGTCACACAGATGTCATAACTAAACTACAAGCCGAACTGCAGCTAAAAGACGCGCGCCTTGTGAAGAATCGTGATAAAATACGTTTTCTCTGCAGCAGCATAGCGCGCTTGCAACAAGAATGCGCGAATAAAGATCAAACAGTGACGGAACTGCAAAATGAGTTGGATAAATTTCGGCAGGTGGTGCGTCCGCTGACGCAGGTATTTTTGCAGCACACCGCGGAGGGTATTGAAGCGGCAGCGGCAGTCGCGGCGCATAGCGGCATGGAATCGACGCGCATGATTGCAACAGGCAGTGAGCCGCGCATAAAGCGGCAGGGTTATAGCGCGGAGCCGGTCTCCGATCTAGTCGACGCGGATAGTGAGCTGATCAAGATACCAAAATCAGAGCTGTAAGCGCAGGGAGGGGCGGGGTATTAAAATAGACTAGCGTACACAAAATCATAAAATCATATTTTGTATTTATAAATATTCTTATATATATATATGTATGTGTGTATAGTATCTTTGCGTCTGCAAAGAATTCTTCCATCGCATCATTTGCTTTTATTAATACTTTTATTATTATTGTATATTGTTATTTTTGCCTGCTTTGTTTACCACTCAAGCAGCATTTTTTATTTAATTTTTTTAAATCTATAAATTTTCTTTGATTTCTTGTAGATCACGTGAACTCATCAAATCAGCCATATTGGACAATGATTTCATGAAGAATTTAGATATAACCCAAATACGCGAAATTGTCGACTGCATGTATCCCGTTAAGTATGCGGCAAAGAGTCTCATCATCAAGGAAGGTGATGTCGGCAGCATTGTTTATGTCATGGAAGGTGAGTAAACTCTCAAGAGTGAATAATTGTTAAAAAAAAATACATGAAGTGAGTCCAAAAAAGTATTGCTAAATTAAAAAAGGCATCAAGTGTAGCGTTGACACTTTTTAAAACAATAAACACAACAAAACTTGCTGCTCAATGCTAAGCGCTGCCTTACAAAACAATACCAGACAAAATTGATATAAAAACAAGCATTGCATGCTAAACAATGTCACTGAAAAACTGCTTGTCCATTGTACCGCAGCTGCTCGTTGCGTACTCACATAGTCGATCAATGAGGCGCTTAACTGCGCGCCGCCTAAATGTAGGCAATATTTTTTGTGCTGTGTGATATTTTCGATGATTGCACCGGATGTATGAACAGATATCTTCTTAGGTCTCTAGTATGAACGCTAATAGTTTTAACAATTTCATTTGCTAGTGTTGTTTTTTTTTTATTTTATTATGGATTTTAGATAGTTAAGGAAATGGTGATTTTTTTTTATATTAAATTTTTATAATGTGGAAGCAAATTTATGCAAACTTATTACCCAATTAACCATTTATAAGAACTTCTGTATACATACAATAATGTACAACATATATGAATGCATATGCCATTAAAAGCACACCTACGATATTTACATATATATTGTGTGTAACCGACAAATAGAGAATCTCATGAAATGTAGTCGTCTTTAAACAACTAATGAAATATTTTGGACATATTTTTCTTGTCGAAAATTCACTAAAAAATTCTCCTAAGAAGGGCAAACGCTATTTAAAATCACCTATAAATCTTTTTATGGGTATACCCTTTAGAAATAATTCCGACGAAACCGCTCCATTAAATTTATTTATTTAAACTCATCAAAATCACCAACATCTGTTGTTATACCACTAAAATAACAGAAAGTGGGAATGTTAGGTTAAAAATATCTCTAATAATTAAAAATGTTTTCGAATTAAGTGCTAAAGCCCACTTACTTTGCCATATAGAGACATTATAATCCATCTGGAATATTATTCTTCATTTTATTTAATTTTAATTGCATAAAAGTATTTATTTTCAACAAGTAATAAAAACCCCAAAAACGCGTGAATCCCAAAATCGTCAGTCAATTTTTTTTATTTTAATTGACGAGTATTAATAGAAAATACTTATACATTACTACAACACTACAAAGATGTTGATCGTAACGATCAGTTACTTAAAAATCACGTCCGAACTCAAGTTCGATGAAACAGTGTCTAAAGTAATTCTTGATTAGCACTTTGAGATAAGAATATTGTCCCAATTTATTTTTTGTCAATCATGTTTAATGCATAATATATAAATACATTAGTACTTTTATGTATGTACATATATGTATATATATGCATTTATTTGTTTAATATTAATCCATTTCATATGGAGAAATCACAAGAATACAACATTTTTAGCATACTCACAAGTACCTATATTATACAATATTTATTGACATTGCAGAATTTTCTAATAAAAAATTAAATCAAGAACGCATAAAATCGTTAAAACACGAAAATCGGTTCTACAAAAACTAAATATTTTCTTCTTTGATTATCAGGACTCTGTTGCCTTCTCTACATATTTTTTCTAACGCACTTTTCTTAGCAAAAAAGTCGTAAAGAAGTAGATAACATAACCGTTCTGAATCGTTATTTCGTCTTTTATTTATACCCAATTTTACGTAATTAATACAACTCCATCCTACAGTTCTTATTCAAAAATTAGGTTATGAAACATAATCTATTATGATGCAATGGTTTCTTGCTCCCTTCGAAAGTATTTGGCAGTCGCTTCCACTTTTCAGAAATTGACTCGGGGTTTATACAGTAAAGAGCTGCTATTTCATCGATCCAGCCCCGCTTTTCGGAACATTACCCCCTAACTTTAACAATGTTGGCATTAAAACAACTTTATCTTCAGTATTTGAATCAGAAATTTTAGTATCAATTACGTGCACTTCCTATTGGTGCTACACCCTAATGCATACTCATAAATCACCCCAAAACGTTTTGTCATTTGCCTGAGAAATTGTTTCAATGTTAATACCAATCAGTAGGCCAAACCCGAATTTTCGCCCATGGGGTTAAACTTGTATCGGATACCTCATCCAAATTTATGTGTAAAATAATTGGCCAACTGCTTTTCGAGCTCCGATTTATCGAGGTTCAATCTATAAATATACAAATACATTTTATTTCTGGTTCTAAATAGGTCAATCTGCAAAATATTTTTCAATATCAGCCTTTTATATGGACCTAATAATGTGTCTATTTCTTTGTTATAATCCATATTGTTTCAAATTTCGCTGTAATACCCACTCATGATGATTTCCCTTAATCCAAAAGGTTATTTAAAGTCTTATCCGAATTGCCAACGTAGTTTTTTACCTTAGATATTTACATGGTAAAAAATTTCTTCGACTCGATATCGACCTTTAACGAACACCAAAAACAAATGTTGCCCTTCTCTGGCTACAGTTTTTTTTTCAAGTTACCAGAGTTTATTAAAAAATCGAAGCATTAAAATGTTGAGATGTTGGCCACTCTACTTCCACTCCATATGCTCTCGAACTGGTTTTTGAAGCGCTCCGCTCCGCTCTTGTAATGTACAGCAGCTGTTTTGTTGCAAAGTACACCTTTTCTGCGTAGCGAGTACCTCCATTGTGTGCCAACACTTTACCTGTAGCGCGTGGGGTCATAAGTAGAGAGCAAGCGTTATACTTTTATTTATTTTGTTTATATGCCTTCTCCGCTTTGTTTTGTATACCTCGTTGCCATGTGCAATGCGGCGTCGGCGGTGATCGCTGGAGCACGATAGCATTTATTGAGCGCTCAATTGTTTAGTTCGAAAATTTTTCGAAGTCATTATTATTACAGCTGGCTGAGTAGTCGAGGAGGTCCACAAGCAAAGCATGCGCA